AAGAAGAAAAGAAGAAAAGAAAGAAAGCCAGTTGAGAAAAGGGCACGGAGAAGAAAATTGGAGAAAATTTGTTTGCCTCGTTTGGATTCGTAAAATCAACGAATAATAGCTACGACGTGAAATTAACCCCTCGAATATGACGGAATAAATTTGACCGATTCGCACGCGGAATCCAGCGATGGCTCGCGAGCACAGTGTCGAGGATTCCTCCTGCTTTTCAGCGCCTCGAGGGAACAAATCGACGCGGAAAAGAAGAAAAGCCTACGAGGACAAGCCTCGAAGAAGAAAATTGGAGAAAATTTGTTTGCTTCGGTTGGATTCGTAAAATCAACGAATAATAGCTACGACGTGAAATTAACCCCTCGGATATGACGGAATAAATTCGACGGATTCGCACGCGTGCACTCGCATGTGTCTCGGCAATTTCGGCCAGGTAGCCAGCCGGGAAAATTGAGCGGTAAAACGTGCATTACCGCCATCGGCCAACCGATTGAGACGCCGTCGATGCACCGTGTTATTTCGTACCACCGACCAATCCGCGGCTCTCGTTATTTCCACGCTCGCCCTACTCGCGATTAAACGCACAGAAGCCTCCCTCTCTGTGCTTCCGCCCTCCGAGTAGATGCCACCATCGCGTTTCCAGCGTTTCCTGCATTCCTCTCGCACCTCGTGATCGAGGCTCGATACGATGGCCGATTTTAGGGGAGGTTTTAATTTAGGGATTTCAGGGGTAGGATTTCAACGCGGCATCGAGCGACCTTCGTCCGATATTCCTTCGAATTTCAGCGATATTCGGGGTATCGCGGTGATGGTCCGATGGAAGCGGACGAACGATGGAAGAAGAGGTCTCGACGAGTGTTTCGATCACTGGTTCGGAGAGGATCATTTCCGCGATTCGAAGAACAAACGGATCGTGTAACAGAGTTGCAACGATGTTTCAGCTAGAGTGTACTCTAGCGAGCACTCGATTGTAGGGTAGTTTTTTTCCCTGGTATCGATCAGGGCTGTGGTTTGACGGATATAAGTGGCAACGCGGTGTGTACGGCTTAATTAAAGTTAGCGGTGGTGGTCAGTGATGACCAAGATGGCGGCGGGCAAGTTTCGAGGAGCATTTCCTTTCCGCGACGGTCGAGCGAGAGCAATTTTCGGATATGTACTTTCGTTTCGAAATTAATCGGAATGGGGAAATATTTGGCGAGTTAACTCGTCTGAAAGGTTAACCCTTTGCACTCGAGAAGTGACTCTCGGTCGTTGTTTAACACTAGAACTACCGATCTTTAATGGGTACCTAACTATAACGTGCAAAGATTACAGTAATTTCAGCGGTACGATGAATATGAGTGAATATATTGATTACAGTTCTTTCTTAATACGAGATCTAACTATAACGTGCAAAGATTATAGTAATTTCAGCGGTACGATGAATATGAGTGAATATATTGATTACAGTTCTTTCTTAATACGAGTTGATGCCAATTTTATTCTTAAAGCGGGTGTATGCGTTCGGTGATTGCAGAAAGAAAAATTCTAGAACCAGTCATTTTCACTGGATTGGTAGTTCTAGTGTTAATCAGATTCTAAAGATCGTTGTTAATTAATATCTCGAATTTAACTCTTTGCTCTCGACGATCTCTTCCTTACAGAAACATAGTAATTCGAAGACTTTTTGCCATAAAATCGACGACATTTTCAAAACGGTAAATAAGAAAGGGACATTCGCAAGTCTAAAAATACAGAAAACTACAGAAAATTAGAGAAACTAAAAATGATGCATATTTACGTATTATAAGTAGTATCAAATGCAAATCAGTTTTAACAAATTCTGCATGTGTTTTGCAGAATTACATATTATGCGTTTTAATATGCATATATTAACTTTAAATCCTGTACAGAAAAGTAACTGTGAAACGCTAAATTTGTTCTGTTGAAATCTGTCAAGTGCAAAGGGTTAAAATTTTGCACTCGAGAGACGACTCTCAGTCACCGTTTAATCAGATTCTAAAGATCGTTGTTAATTAATATCTCGAATTTAACACATTGACGAGATATCTCGTCTTTAGCACGCCGAACGTTATTGCCGAGTGACGAGATATGTCGTTTTCAGGTTTCTTCGACTCGATGAATGATTTAAGGAATTGAAAATAGATTTTCTCGTTGCGTTACCAGGGTAACGAAGTCTCGCGTATTCTTATTCCAATACCTTATGTCTAATAATAATCTATAATACGTAATTTAAATATATGCATCGTATAAAATATTCCTGGATTTTCCAAAGAAATGCGGGCCCTGAGTGCCGTACGCAGTGCGATAAAATTTCCCAACGATACGCGAAATATCGAGGTAAAATAATTCTACGTCCGACAAAAATTAATTTGCACATTTCATTTACCGTTTTGAAAATATCGTCGAGTTTATGGCACCGAGTCTTCGAATTACTACGTTTCTGTAACGAAAAGATCGCCTAGTGCAAAGGGTCAATAAAAAATTTTCCTCTGACCTCGCATTACGAATTTCCCTGTCGAATTAAAATAACGGAATACCGGATGCGTAATTCAGCACTGCGAAACACGTCGAATACCATTTGCTCGAGCAATTTTTCCGGATAACTCGCGACTAATCGAAACGCCTCAAGGTATCGTTTGCAATATTCACGAATAGTTAAACCCTACCTCGCGGAAACTAGCCTCGCCTTGCTGCTCGTGCATGAAAATTCATTCGCCCATTTCGCGAAATTGTCCCGACTACCATCGACTACGTTCGACGTCGAATTTCGAATTACATATTCGAGACAAGCCGTTGCTGCTTAAATTTCCAAACGCGACCGGTCAAACCACGATCCATTATTAAAACGTGACACAAATTTCCGATTAAACTCACTTTACGAAAGTACAGCGGAATTTACGAAGCGAGCCATGCAAATATCAATCGTTGCTCCGAATATTCGACATTAGAAATATCTCGAAGAACCCTAAACTCTGTCACCAGCTTTACTGACTCGGGTAATCGAATTTTCCTCGATGAAAACTCGATGGAAATCGGGAAAATCGTGGAATTAACGGGGAATATCGTCGAGGAAGAAAATTCTGGAGCCAACGATCGACGTTTTTCGGTGATTCGTTAAGAGGAATCGCGACGGAGGCATCGGGCGAAGACGCAGCAGTGACAGGCAAGAGGAAGCCGACGGTAGAGTATCGGGACGATAGGTAAGTTCCGTCACTTGAAAATCGGTTGGCACGCGAACGATCGTCGCTTATCGGCGATCTCGTAAAGCTCTTTATCGACAGCGATACCGTTTTCACTCGGCCGTGCCCGATAAAATCGCGATCGTCGCTGGAATACCAGAAACGTCACGGAAAACCTCACCGATTAACCCTTTACAGGAGTAACATTATACCAAACGAAATAACACGACGATCCTATTGGACCCGTCGATAAAACTTTATCTCGCTCCGAGGGAAAATCACGCGTCGCGAACGGTAGCCATTTTCTAGCGTTTGAGTGCTCGGATAATGCAACGTTGATTAAATACTCGAAAACGAGCGTAATTATTCCCGGTTGAGAAGTTTCCTACGAATCGAGATTATTCCCGAATATCGATCCGATAAGATGGCGGCCTATCGACCATTACGTAATCGTTACGATTGTTACGAGACCGTGAAACCGAGCTGCTAAACTCTGCTCGGAAAATTCTATTCTTGCTAAATTTTTTTTTAAAACGAAGGATTTTGCGAGCAACGAAATTTGTGTTCGTGGTGTAAATGGGAGAAGCGAGTTTTCCCCCGGGAAAACTCGTAAAAGTCGAGACTCGAGTAGACACGAGTAGTGACGGAGAGAGCAAAGAGTCGTTGCACGTCCGACGGGCGGAAGAGGCCCAGCGCGAGTTGGAGTTTGGAGACGACCGAGAAGAAGCGGAAATCGGGGAGAATATTGGTTGCAGGGCGAGCAGTGGCCCGGAATGATCCTCGCGTGAACAAAATCCCAGTCGACGACAAGAATCGTAATCAATTCCTCGAACGCGGCATCCGCCTGCGGTAAACGCTCTCACGTATCGATCGCGAGCGTGCATCTCGATGGCATGTCGATCCACGGGAGCACGATATTCGCGCAAAATGATAATTTCGGGTTGTCCATCTCGCGGTGAGTTTCTCCGGAACGGACCACTCGAACACGGAATTCCAGATCGACGACACTACGCGCTTTGCACGCGACCCGTTTTGTTTTGCTCGAGAAACGACGGATTTTCCTCGGGTTTCTCCGTGCCAGGCTTCTCGTCCCGAGACTACCTTCCAGTTCAAAATATTTACCACTGCTCCGAGTCCCTCGCGCTGTCGCGAGGTGCGAAAAAGTAGCCAGGAATATTCGAGCGTGGTTCGGGATAAAATTACACGCTTATGGATCGATCCCCCGAGACACCCTTCGAGTACTGGCCACCACGGTTTGCCTACGCCACCCGACCTTATAAACTCGAGCATCCGAGTTGCTCGATTACGGCGGAGCTAAACGACAAAGTCCTTTCGGGACCCCGTTCGAGTCGGCCGTGTAACAATCGTTTGGCCAACGAACCGAGCGTATTCCGCTTGTAACACAGCCTCCTCAGTTGCCGGTTTCCAACTTAGGATCGGATTTAATTCGATCTAAGGACCACTTTCGTGGCATTCCACAGCTTCGAGCACACCTCGGAACCTACACTCGCGCGTTTCGTCGCGTTACGTCAGAGGGTAAGATTGTCTATGATATGGTTCGATAAGCGAGATTTACAGTGGAACGTACGTCGATCTCTCGTATCGATCGCGAGACGAGGTATACTCTGCTGCACCGAGCGACGGACGCGGGCCAGCGAGTTGACGCGTGCCGCGACAATTAACGAGAAGCAAGGCCTACCACGCGCGATTACTCCGCGCGAAGGGAATATCGTTAACGGATCCTGGGAACGGAATTTCGCGAGGTGATAGACGGTACGCGGAGATGTGAGCATGGTGAAACGATGGTTCGACACGTACCCTTGGCTGCGCCATGAACGCCGCCCTGGTCGCGCCGGGGAACTCTGCGTGCTGAGCCACCGTAGCGGCTGTATTTTCCCACAGTATAAGCAAGTAACCTCGAACACTTCACACACACTGGTTTCCCCACTTTTCGATTCGCCTTATCGCGGCGATCGGTTTGCCCGTTTCCCGTTCGTCACACTCAGAGGACTCGCGGATTATCGCCTCGTCGAATGCACGGAACTAGGAAAGAGAGTAAACGGCGGAAGCGATGCCGTCGCCGAGCCTAACGTCTCTTCTTCTCCTCTTCGCGATCGAGAGCTCTCCTGGTTGCTCGCGTTGCTCGCGGTGGAAGGACGGTGGTGGTGGTCGGCAACAACAACGATGGTCTCTGCACTCTCGCAGCCGACGGTCCGCGAGAAAACGGGCCTCTGGACCTCGACGCTCTCGCGACTGTTCTACCACGCTTGGGACGCTACTGAAGCGTGCTGGCTCCGTCGGTCCTCGACGATCCCCGGATCCGAGTCGACCGGCGACACGAGACACGCTGTGTGACGGCGAGAAATCGAAGCGAGCGTCAGCAGAGCTCGGCACGCGCGATTGAACGCTGCAGCAGGACCACGGCTACGGCCGGACACACGTGCTTCCTCATCGTCGCGGTCACACCGCCGGAAGTTCCGCTGACCAGACAGCCAGAGAGCGTGCCTCTCTCCGTATCGTCAGTCTCGCGACATTATACGCTCCACTTCCTCGCTTTTCCGACCACGTGGTCGCTCATGTATTCTCTCTCTCTCTCTCTGTCTGATGCACCACGGATACCGCTTCCTCCGGATTCGATCTCTTCGATATCTCGATCGAGTACGATCAGGCAAGATGGAGCTTTGTTCGGTGTTAATCGCTGGATGCGAGTCGGATGGAACTTCACACGGTATGCGAGACACGAAACTCGGAGATTGCTCGGATTTCCCGACGGACAATGATATTCACGATCACGCTGTTCCCGAAGCAAATAACTGCTGTGTACGAAACCGACGACGTATATCACCACGATGTTATCACACGATCTCTGGTTATCACGGTTACTCTCGCTGCTCCTGTCCACTCTGGATGTAATACGGCACCGATTACCGAACGTTGGCCGTCGGGGAGCCGATTCTCGGCCGCACTGGCGTTGTTGTTTCACAGAACGAATCAAGCAACCAACGACACGCGTAAACACCGCAGCGATTCGCGTGTATGTATGTCACTGTGGAAAAACACGTTTACATCCTTCGCCCGATGCACCCGTCAAGTATTGGCGCCAAGTCAAAGGTGCCGTCGTAACGTATCGTTCCACTCGAAGACAGACGGTGGAAATGGAGCGGAGCACAGACGGATGGCCGATTATACTCGCGTGGCCGTTGCTCGCGCGCGCGACACACTGCGGCTCCGCGACTCGTGCACCGTGTGCGACGCAGCCGGACAGACGGTATCTCGTCGTCGATGACGATAACGGTGACGATGACGACGAGGATGAGGATAACGATGACGATGAAGATGACGACGTAGAGACTACGATGGATGGATCGGCCAGGGAGCAACACAGGGGTCCCGAGTATTCAGCCACACAGGCACGGCAAACAACAGTCCACTGCGGTTAAATCCGAGGATCCGTGTGCGATTCGTTCGTCGGCGCGTGTAATACGCGCGAAGCGAACGAAAAGTCGAGCGTCGGAGAGGCGGCGACGTTGCCGCCACGATATCTCTCTCTCTCTCTCTCTCTCTCTTTCTCTTCCTCTCTTTCGTTGTACGTCGTCTGTCGCGCGCCGATAGTTGCCCGAGGTTGCCGTTTTTTACGTGGTACACGATAGACACACCGAGCCGTTCGCGTCCGAACTAGCGAATATTCTCCACGCGACGATGTGGAAAACGGCGGAACGCGTCGTCGACGGAGTCGCGGCGGAAGAAGAAGCGCGTTCCTCCTCGCGGCGATTACTGAACGAACGAACCAACGAACGAACGAACCGGTCACGCAGAGGAGTGAGAAGAGGTGACGCGCGAGAGAGCTGTCCGCGAGACGGCGGCCGACCCTCCTCCCTAACCGTAACTACTACTGCGTGTGCCACTCGTAACTCCGGCGGACAGAAGGTGGAAGGTTGGTGTATATGTTGCGCGCGGGCCGGCGGGCAAAGGCAGCCACGGGAATATGCGTGTTTCGAGTTCTTCCCCCACGAAAAAGCACCGGGTAGATCCACGGGTAAGAGAAGAGCGGAGCGAGCGAGCGTGGAGAGCAGCGCCTAGCGCGGTTTTAGATCCTGCGCCGTCCGCAGTCGTTCGCCAACTGTCAATCAGCGCCGCGCTACGCCAAGGAGTGGGAGGCGCGCAGTCACGCCCACCGAGCGCGGCCAATGCGTCCCGTGGCACCGCCCATCTCCCCACTACCGCGCGCCACTCGCAGCGCCGCGCCGGCGAGACCGCGAACCACGGGATTCTCCGCCATCGCTACACCACTACCAACGAGACCGCCGACGGACGACGACGACGACGACGACGACGAAGACGACGAACGAGACGGAGACGAACACGAGGACGAGGACGACATCGTCGTGTGCAATGAGAATCCGTTGTTCCGTTTCTGCTTCTACGTCTCGTTTCGAGGGAACTCGCAATCGGTTCGACTAGACTTTCTACCACGCTCTACTCTGCATTCGGGTTTCTACTACTCTCTGCCACATTCTCGTTACGCGTTCAACGCCAAGCTCGTCCGCTCGTACGAACCGAATGGAACAAACGCGTACCGTTTTACTCGTACCCGTGAAACGACGAACGAGCGATAGCTTCCTGTATCACGGTGATTTCGTTTCCATCGTCGACGATACGTCGAAAAGAACGCGTTCCGCGAATACCTGCCGCTTCCACCTGTAAACGTGCCACGAGCGAAATACTTTGGTACGAAGCGGGATCCAGTGCCGTGCAACTTCCGCGACTGCACATCTCGCGGTCGAAAAGCACTTTGAATTTCTCGTGCGACTCTGCCAGGGCAAGAAGCGGTGCGCGTATCGCGCCAGAAATAGTAGAATAGCCGCGAGAGGATAGGACGCGAGGAGCGCGGGCACTTGGCAAAGGAATTCGTCGCGCTTGCTCCGCGTCTTAAATAACGCAGCCGATGATCCTGACAAATAACGAGGCCCGGCTAAATGCCGGCCGTCGGATGGATCGTTTGGAACGCGAGGGAAGGCTCGGAGAATTTGCAGAATCGACCAGCGTATCGACGCTGTCATTCTCGGCTCGTTGCCATATTTCATTGCTCGCCCAAAGGGGTATGTTACACGCCACGCCGAGGGGTGGAAAGCACTCGACTTTCGCGCGTTTAAACATCGTTTCGTTTTATCGCGCTTCTCTTTTTCTTCCTTTCTCGTTCGCCTCCCTCTTTTTCCCTCCTTTTTTCCTCTTTTCTTCTCGCCTTTTTTTTCCTTTCTTTTTTTCTTTTTTTTCATTATTCCCTGGTTATTAATTCAACGCGTCTGGTCGCGGGACGGCCAGCCGGCGGCGGCGACGGTGGCGGTGGCGGTGTCGGCGGCGGTGGCGGCGGCGGCGGTCGATCGAGCTTTGAATGAACCGAACGAACAGCTGACTCCACGCAGGAATTGGGTCGCGAACGTGCGGTTTCGAACTTTGAATGGTATTCGGCGTTGGGTGAGTAATAGCGACAGGAGGCGGCGGAGGCGGAGGAGGGCAGAGAGGCGGCTGTCACCGACATCACTCAGTGTCTCCCTCCTGGCGTTCACTTCGCTCGATTTTATGACTCTCTCTCATCCCGCGCGCACACTTCCACCCAGCCGCCCCCTGCGGCCCTGCCCCCGTTGCGCTCGCGACAGTCGCGCGTACACGCGCGTCCCTTCGCGTTTGCATAATGTCGCGAATCGACGTGCCACCCTTTCCTTTCGTCTCCCCCTGCTCCCCTCTCCGTGTTTCCGATTTTTCTTCTAAACCCTTTTTCCTCATCCGTTTCTTCCTCACCTGTGCCGCATTTCGCACGCTTTCTCCTTCTTCGTCCTCCGTTTGATCGACAACGGGACGTTCCCAACGAGCGCTGCGAGAATTTGGATTAAAAGATCAGTCGGACGTGGTTTCTTTCGCGTTTATTCCAACGTTTCCAATGTTTCTTGCATCTCTTCTTCCGTCGTCTTTCATCCGTTATGTTGAGTCGTCTCGAGTTGAATTGTTGAGATGGCTCCTTTTTGGACGAGGATCGTCGCGATTTTTAGCAAAGGATCGGTGATATCTAGAGAATCGGATCTCCTGGACAAGGAGGGAAGCGATAGGAAAGCGAGTATAGCGTTGGTCGGATCGAAATATTTCTCGTTGGTCGATGAAAGCGCCGGCTCGGTTAACGTTTCGTTTTTGCTCGCGATACGCATCGGCGGATTTTTCGCGCGGTGGTTTATTCAAATTACAACGCGACCTCGATTATCCGACCGAAATAGCGGACACTTTGTTCGGATAATTGAACGTGATTACGTTTTAACGAAGCGAAGAACGATCATCCGTTGCATTAATAAACCAACGCGGCGAGCAAAAACTGGTCCATCGTTTTACCAAAAGCTGCTCGCTTTTCGGTTCCCGTGTACTATTTTTCGCCGGCGTTATTCGCCGTTTTGCGATCGATTAATTATCGCGTGTAATATATGCGATATATTTCTGTTTGCCGGGTGTACGGTAACGAATTAAACGACGTACGCGGATACGCCTTCGCGTTCGCGTGAATTTATACGAAACGAAAGGGGCGAGGATGAAAGAAACGGGCAGAAGAAAGTGCCATAAATATCGAATGACTAAATTGATTCTGAAATATCAGACCGCGCGCATTCTTCATTATCTAAACGAGTAAGCTTCCCGATGAAAATAGGATAATTACACGTTTCATGCACGGGAGTGAGAACGACGACTATTCATTTAGCTGGGCGCGGGCAATGAGCAGCGGGTTTCGCGATTTATAAGGCCGCCTTCAAAGACAGCGTTAAGTAATCTTAATTCCACCACGGGCATAAATAAGTAATACTTTATACGCTGCTTTTTATGAAAACGCCCCGCTATGCTAATCATTATAGAGTCCTCCGTATAATAATCCTATTTACACTGGCGAGCATTTGTATTGTAAATTTTCAGCTATTAAATTTCGTTCGCGAATACCGGGTTGCTCTAGCTCGCAACGTCGCCATTTTCCATAGAGAATAACACCGTTCGCACTTCGGGTTTCACCCCGTACACTCGCTCGAAGACAGGAGAGCAAACCTGGCACTCGAGCAATTCGTTCCACAGGTTGCACTCTAATTAACGCTCTTATATATCTCGGAAAATTATCTAAAATATGTACGAACGCGCCCCGCAACTCTGATACACGTTTCCTAAATAAAGGTGTCGAATCCCGAGGATCGTAGGGTCGCAGAAGCACGCGATGCTTGCGGCCCGTTACGAGGGCAGAAAAGAACGGGGAACGAGGTTGGGCCTTGGACGACGCGGGGACGAAAATCGCACGATCACTGCGAGAACGGTCGCTCGCCGGTCGAAACACCGTTTATCCGGTTAATTCGTAGGTGTTCCGGACATTGTCGGGGCTTTACCTGGCACGGGACACTTGCAGCCTGTTATTTCGCGATAAATCACACTGCGAGATGGAACCGAGCTCGTCGATAGTAACGAGGGATTCTCCCCCGTGCGATTCGACCCCTCGCGGAGTAAACAGCCACGAGCCATTAAACTCCGCGTAATACCCGAAGATGATCGATTCTTATGTAACGCGGAAGCCGCGGCATACATTCCGCAAGAGGAAGCAGCACAGCAGCTCTGACCACGCGGAAATCACTGTCACGGGATTGTGTCACGCGTAAGAAATTTATCTACCATCCTGGCATCCGTGGAAACTCTAGTTTCGAGCAAAACGTACGGTCCACTCGGATTACTCGTCATTCGGTTACGAACTTTCTCGAGAATGCCTCGTACCTGGATCGATCGATCGTTACGTAACCCGGAACGAAACGAGCAGCGCGCGCTTCATGGAAATGGAGTTATATTAAGATGGAAGGCGTTTCCGAACGGTACACCGGGTATAATACAGAAGCGAAGCGTCGGTACAATGGGCTACGCGACCTAACCCGTCCACTGTCCCTGCGTAATTCTGCGAAACACCCCTACTGTCTCCTCTATTGTGCCTCCGGGCGTAACAATGTCAATGTCTATACCGTTAAGCCGTCGACGAAACGTGTACGCGGTGTACCCCAATTATTCCACTTCCGCGAAACATTTTCCTACCCCACCACTCCACCAATGATCTTCGCCTTCGGGCCCGCTCTAATCCCTTAACCCTTTAAGCTGACTTTTCAACCATCAACCGAGATCCGACGCGTATCGGGGACAATGGCCTCCATCGGCAATCGTTTGCGCCTTTTTCGGGGTAAATTGTTCCCCGTTGAAAAGCTGCCACGACTTCCAAATCCATACAAATTTATAAACGATAAACTTGCGAGATTACCTATTTCTTTGCTACCCTGAGACACTACAGCTTTACTCGGTTAGTGCGATAATTTAAAAATTAAAAATTTGCAAAAATTCCTGCGGCAATTTCGAAAGCCCTAAATTAGGGAAGCTTGTCGATACCGTTTGTTTTGCCGATTTCGAGCAGATTCGAGGTGTGCGATTACCTACTTCTTCACTACCCTGAGACGCTATAATTTTTCTCGGTTAGTATGATAATTTAAAAATTAAAAATTTGCAAAAATTCTTATGGCAATTACAAAGGATCCTAAATTAAGGAAGCTTGGCGATACCGTTTCTTTTACCGATTTCGAGCAGATTCGAGACACGTGACTACCCATTTCTTCGTTACCTCGACACGCTACAATTTTTCTCGTTTAGTATGATAATTTAAAAAATAAAAATTTGCAAAAATTCCTGCGGCAATTACGAAAGTCCTAAATTAGGGAAGCTTGTCGATACCGTTTGTTTCGCCGATTTCGAGCAGATTCGAGGCCCGCGTATGTTTCGACACGGCAAAGGGACTTCTATTTGGAATCTATGAGTCGAAAATTGTTTTGGTTACACGGAAGCTCGGCGTGCTACGACCGTTTATTTACGCGACGTTATTTTTCAGCCGGGTCAGAGTGAACGAGTTCATCGGAGCATCGATCAGAGATTCGTCGCGTCCATCGTGGATTATCGAAACCGGTGGTCCTTGTAAACTATCAGCCGTTTTTTCACGGGCTCGAGGATACGTACGGGCGGCGTTAAACCGCGGATCCGAGGCGATTCTCGCTCGATCCGCCGGCAGCCAGCCAAAAACTCGGCTCCACGGGA